AATGATATTTATGGTGTTTTACCATTTGTAGCACCTGAAGTTTTAAGAGGTCAACCTTATACTTTAGCTAGTGATATTTATAGTTTTTCTATAATTTTGTGGGAATTTATATCTGGAATTCCTCCATTTAATAATAAAGCTCATGATTTTCAACTTAGTTTAGATATTTGCAAAGGTAAACGTCCTGAAATCATTAAAAATATTCCACAATGTTATATAGATTTAATGAAAAAATGTTGGGATATGGATCCATTAAAAAGACCAAATGCATCAGAAATTAAAAATATTATTGAAAATTGGAAAGAAAATATTATTAATAGAGATTTTAAAAAAGAATTAAATAATGATATTTTAGATTTTTATAAAGCAGATAAGGTATTAGAAAAAATACAAAATAATAGTGTTATTAATGATGATGTAGTTATTATTAAATCACATCCACAAGCATATCATACTAGTCAATTACTAAATTTTTCTAACAAATTAAATAATATTTTAGATTCAGAACTTAGTCAAAGTATTGGTAATTATTATATTATATTAAATTTATAAAACATATTAATTTTAATAATTTCTTAATTTTAATATATTTATTTAATTTAATAGAAGCCTTAAATATAAAAGTGTTAAAATAAAAATTTAAATTATCTTTAAATTAATTATTTAATAAGTTAATTTATTTTATAAATAGTTAAAAAATATTTTATTTTATTTGTATTTTATAAATATTTATTTAGTAACACTATATATAGAATATTTTATTAAAACTATAGTTTGTAATTGTTAAAATAAAATTTATAAAAAAATTAAAAGCAATTTTTATTAATAAATATAATAAATTTATATATAGGAATTTATTTATTACTAATCACTAATGTTAAATTAACTAATAGTAATTGAAGATTTTAATATCTTATATTATCAATAATATTTAAAGAAATGAAACAAATATTTTTTAGTAGTAAAAAAATTCAAAGTCCTTAGAATACATAGTAAAAATGAAAATAGTGAAATGTAACATAGGTTGGCAAATAACACATATAATATAAATATATAAAACACAATAAATGCTAATAATAATACATAAATTCCTCATATACAGTTCGCGACATAAATTTCTGAAGTTTTTATTAAGTATACAAAAAAAAGTACCATTACACCAATTTCTGTCTAACGTAAATAAAATTTAAAATACCAATTCATTAGCTATTTTTAAACGTAAATATAAATGCCAAATTTTTTTATGTAACTGTTTATCAATCTCAACTCATAATAAATGGTACCCACTTCAATGTATGAGACAAGACAGCTAACTTTAAAGGAACTATAGTTTAATAATATACGAAAACCCGCCAAAATAATTAAAATAACTGGGTATCCAAAGTCTACAGTATATGATATTGTCAACCGTTTAAAAGAAACGGGAAATGTTGAGCATTTGCTTTGTTCTGGTCATCCTCTTCTTCTAACCTCCAATAAATGCTGATATCTTGGTCATCTTCTCCAAGTTAATAATGCAACAACTCCAGCTTTAATGACAAAAAGCTGAATTCCACATATCCAGAACTTAACGTATTAACTCGAACTGTCTAGCATACCTCTAAAAATAAACTTAATTATGTTGTATGTCGACCACGAGCGGTTCCCTTTCTTAAGCTGAATCATATTGAAGCTTGTTTTCAATAGACCATAAACCATTACCAAGATAATTGGTCTCATATGATATTTTCTGACGAAATTACTTTTCAAATGTTCTGCAATACCCAACTTGTACGCTACAAAATTGGTAATCCACGTCTATTACGTCCTATGGTAAAACATCTGTATAAAGTCTATGTTTAGGGTGCTTTCAGCCGTTAAGGGCCAATTGGTGTGGTATTATTTACAGGAAAGATGAATGCTGAAAAATATCGGGATATTATTTGATATCAATTGCTTTCTAATGTTAACTGTGCTGACAATGGATGGCGTTTTCAACAGGATAATCCACCAACTCATACCGCGAAGCTTACCTGTCAATTTTTGTGACGAATAATGTTCTGGTGATTGATTAGCCTGCTAACTCTTCTGACTTAAACCCAATCGAGAATTTGTGGGCGATTCTTAAAGGAAAAGAGGAGGAAAAGATTAATGATTAGATTAGAGAAAAAAAATACTTAGCGCGGATGCTTTCAAAGCATGATTTAGAGGGAATGGGAAAATCTCGATCAAAACATTTTCTTTAACTTTGCAGATAGTATGTCAGATCGGATTAGTATGGTTATAGAAAAAATTGGATATACGATAAATTATTAATTCTTTAAATATGTTGTTTTTTATATAATAATCTGTTGATATTATAAATTTGAAGTAAAAATAATAAAATTTGCGATACTTTTATATGTTATGATAAATTCTGGATATTAATGTCGTAAACTGTATATTATAAAACTCTATAATTTCTTTTATATATCAAATTTATTTAAAATATATATTAAATTAAATTAAATATTTGAATAAAAGTTAATTTTAAAATTTTGTAAAAATATTAGTAAATAACATTTTTCAATTTTAAAATACTAGGGGTTAAAACAGGTTTGATAAAAATTGATTTAAATTCAGTTAAAACTAGTTGCAACATATAGAGTTTTAAACAATTCAAGCTAATTTTGAATTAGAGAGTTAAGTTAAGCTGAGTCAAAAGAATTTTGAGTTTTAAGTTAAGCTTAGCTTGACTTGAGATCAAAGTTAAGTTCAAAATCAAGTAAAACTTAAGCCTAAAATCGAGATAAAATCAAGTAAAAATTTAACAATTTTTTTAAAATCATTCATTCTAATAGAATAATATACATTATTACTTTAGAATAGTATTTTAGCATTTTATTATAATGTTTCTTTTATCATTTGTTTACTATTTTTCTAATAAAACTAGATAACAGACACTGTTAGAGTGTCTGAAACGTTAATTCACAATGGGTACAATCAGGTACATATGTCACTGCAAAACTAAATTACTTTTATGGATCTCGAAAATAAACACAATTTAAATCCAGATGGTATCAGTAGAATTTACTTTTATGGTAAGCAAAATTAGAACGGAAAACGTGACAGAATAATAACACATCTTATTGGCTGATCACGCATGCAGATAGACAGACAGACACAACTTGCATCACATAGAGTCTAACCGTAAATGTTCTCAGTTATGCTTCGGACAAATAAAAGACCTTATATAATTTTATTAGAATAATTTTTTTTTCATTTCTTTAAAATGATGTTTTATCATTCTATCAGAATATTTTTTATATTATTTTTTAGAATGGTTATTTTATTATTTTATTAAAACAATTCTTTTATGGTTCCTTTGGAATATTAATTTATCATTCTATTAGAATGGTTCTTTATTATTCTTTTAAATGATTTTTTGTCATTTATCAAAATAAGTGTTTTATCATTTTATTGCAATAATATATTCTATATAATTTGTAAAGAATTAATAAATTTCTTTACCTCTGCTAGAAATTCAAAAATGGTTTATTAAAGAACTAAAAGAAGAACAGCAAATAATTGATTACCAAAAGTAAAGCATTAGTTGTTAAAAGAAAAGAACAAAGATTTATAAAGAATATTTGGAAGAATAATTAAATACTTTATTATTTTACAAAGTATAATAATATATTATATGAGAGCTGTGCTATTAAAAATGGATTAAGGGAATCTTTCAACAAAAAATGCGATTTTTGATTCATATTATAATATATTAAATGAACTTTATTTAGTAAAATTTTTAGCGCTATTAGCTTAATAATAAAACAAGTAATTTGGCTGGCAAAAATGCTTAAATTTCTATATAATATCAATCAAATATTTAAATTAGATTTTAGAAATGATCGATGTAAATTTTAGCAATGATCGATAAATGATCGATATATATAAAAATGCTTTAGAGTATGGTTTAAATAGCAAAATCTCAGAAATCTCTTATTTTACGAAATTGATGTAACAATATTTTAAAATAATTTAATATTTGTAAGAATACTTGTTATAATAAAATGTTATACAGTTGAATCTCACTATAACGAATCTTTATTTTTGGAGGTCAAAATTCATTATATGTGAAAATTTAGTAATGTCTATATCAAATTTTAACAATTTATTCGTTATATAATAATACTGAATATCATATCCAAATTTAGTATATAATAAGTTTGGAATAATGTAAAACAAATAAATTTAAATAATAAATAACTAACGAATTAAAATTATGAAGGTATGCTTGCTCTTAGCCAGATATAGATTAACCTATAACTTTTGATCCACAAGCTTTGTTTAGTTTTTTTTAACGAAATTTAAAAAAAAACTCAAAGAAATGATCTAATTTTCTAGCAATTTTAAAATTTACAGTTTTCGCAATTAAAATTTTCGTAATTTTAAAATTTGATTATTTTGTATAGTTTCACAATTGCAATTTCAATTTGAAATACAGAAATTAAATATATATTGAATCAACAAATTAATCACCACTGATTCAACACTGATTAATCCTAGGTTCAACACTAAGTAATCCGTGGTTCAACACTAATTAATCCCTATAGAACTTTATTAAATAATTATACAATATAATCAAAACCACAGCTAAAAATTTAGCTGAACTAATTATCCAGTTTGAAACCAGTTTACTTAACATTTTTATTACATAATTTCAACATAACTTGTAAAAAAAAAGGTTGTAAAATTCTTTTTTCATTACAACTATCGAATATATTTTATTTTTTATTAGTTATATCATTTCTTAAATATGAATCCAAGGTAACTTGCTGGTTAAAATGGAATTCTTCTCATTCTACAGCTTTATGTAACTTTTTTATTGCACGAATTTGATTTTTTGAAAAATCAATTTTATCAGATTTTTGTTCTGCATAAATGATTATTTTGTTAAGTGTTACTAATGCTTCATAATTACTAATTTTAGGCATTACTGTTTCTTTATTATTTGATTCTTTTTCTGGTTCTTTCATTAATTCTATAATTTCCTCATCTGTTATCATCTGATGAGTTGTTTCATCTTTTTCACATTGCAAATATTCTTCAGCGGAAATTGGATTTTTGTATATATTAGGAGTTTATCAAATAATAAATTCTTGTATTTTATTAATTTCATCAAAATCTGTAAAATTGACAAAATCATCAACATCAATTCTTTCATCATCATCAGTATTTGGCGGAAGAATATCTGTTTTCCTCCAACAATTTATAATTACTTCTGGTTGAACCAAATCCCATACTTTTGCTGCATATTTAATTGCCTTTTTTATTATAATTTCAGTTATAAGTTGACCTGTTTCTTGATTATTATCAAATGCTTAATTCAATTTTGTAAAAATAACTTCTGATAATGTGTTTTAAAACTTTTAATAATTCTATCATTACAAGGTTAGAGATATGCAGTTATATTAGAAGGTAATTTATGAAGATAAATATTAAAAAGTGTGGTATTCTCATGTAAGATATGAGTAGATACACCATCATAAAGTAAGATTATATGACGATTTTGAAGTCATAGACATTCATTAAAAAGTTTTAACCAATCATTCCAGATACTAACTTACATATAAGCTGTTTTATTCCAATAATAATGCACAGGTAGGAACGATTTTGGAATATGTTTAAGGCACACAGATTTTGACTTTGTCCAATGAAAACTGTCTTGGCTTTTTTGGTTCCTGAAGCATTACACCACAATGTAATAGTGACATGTTCTTTAGATTGTTTTCGACCTACAACTAATATAAGTATTATTTTAAATTTATATAATTATTATATTAATTTATATCATTAATTAACATTAATTTTTACCTAGTCCAGTAGATAAAGTCCGATTTGGCTCTATTTTCTAATAAAATCCAGTTTTATTCACATTAAATATATCATTAGGTGAATAATTTTTAAGAATATTTTGAAGATTTTTACGCATATCATCTAAATTTTCTAAAGGAGCACTTGTAGCCTCTTCATGTCTCAAGTAACATTCAATGTTATGACATTTTTTGAAACCTGTTAACTATTCATTTGATCCTTTGAAGTCTTATACATTAAATAATGTTGCAAAACTTCTTGCTTTTTGTAATAATAATTTACCACTAATAGTAATATTATTATCTACAGCTTTTTCAACCCAAAAACTTAACGCTTCTTTAATTTGTGAAAATTTAGTTTAATTTGTCTTTTAACTGAAGCTTCATAAGATTCTGATTTTATAGCTAACCATTTTTCACTTTCTTTTAAAATATCACATATCATTTCTTCTGAAAATTTAAATTCTAGGAAAAGGTCTTTATTTTTAAACTTTGGTTTTTCTGCAACTTTTTTAAATAAATTTCCTATTTTTAGACACCTGTAAGCAAAGCTCTAGTTCGTTTTAATTTTTTGGGTATTTTAATAAATGATTGATCAAAAAAATTAAGTTCATTTTGAATATTTAAATTATTAATTTATATTTTATTAAAATTTTACTGACTGTAATATTTATTTTAATAGTAATACAAAAAAAAATTCGCTATATCCCTTAAATTTATTATAAAAATTCGTTATATAAAAAAACTTTGTTAACAAAAGTCTCATTTATTATATTTGGTCAGGATTTTCAATTCATTATATATAATAGTAAGTTTTATTATAAAAATTCGTTATATTCAATAATTTTATTTAATAAAATTTGGGACCACTCATGTAATTTGCTATAATAAAAATTCAGAATATAGAAATTCATTATAGTGAGGTTCAACTGCATATATAAAATTAAAGTATCGTCTTATTAATTGATTAGACTCAATTAAAGATGGTACAGCAATTGATTTCAAATTTACAAAATGTTGTCAACATAAGCTAAAATTAGTTGTAACATATGTTGCAACATTATAAGTTGCAACATATATAGGTTAAAACTAATTGCAACGTAAGTTGCAACATTAAAAGTTGCAACATATTAATTACAGTTCCCATCTTTAGACTCAATATTATTTTAAGTGCAATTTTTTATTGACTAAGTATATTTATTTGTAGCGTAACTATTTTTTGATTATCAATTACTCAAAATCAATTTACTAATCTCGTAACTTATTTTTAATAGATCGGCTCTCATATAATAGCAAATGGAATTTATTATGACAATATTTTATATTTCTATTAAAACAAATTATTTATTACACCTTTATTTACTAAATATAACTTGAGTTAAGTTAAGTTATTTATTTGACTTGATTCAACTTGACTCAATTTTTTATCTTGAAACTGAATCTAGTTTTGTAGAATAAGTAGAAGTGTAAATTTGTGATTTTCTTGTATTGGTATCATTTAAGAAGGTTCAAGTCATTGCAATTGATCATGATTAATAATTAAATTCAAATGGTGTTTTTTTTATTATTACAAATTTTTAATATTTATGTTTTAAAATTTTCTATTTATAATTATTTCATAAATATCATGATAAATAAACTATCTCTTTTATTGAAAAAGTTTCTACACGTGCAAAATTAAAAGCTTTCTCAATCTTTCAATTTTGCGATCTCATGAAAGCTTTGGAAACTGGCAAAGAAAGCATATCGTTTTTGATTGAAAAATATTTGTTTAAAAACGTATAATTGTATATTTAGCAATCTTGCTTATAATATGCAATTTTTTGAAGTAGAATGATAAAATTATAGGAATTGTAAAATATTTCAACTTTTGTTTAAAAATAGATAAAGGATGTTACTATGATAATTTACAGTAGAACTAAATTTTTTAAAGGTAATAATGAATGACATTCAAGATAGTGGTCTGTTTAAAATAAAATGTTTAGATTGTATCAATTATATGTTGAGTTACGTAGACTTTTTATGACTTAAAATGATATCAAAGTAAACTGGCAATGACAGTAAATTATAATTCTTTCAAAGTTCACATATGAAAAAATTTTCAAGATTGTGTGTAAGATTTTGCAATCAATTTCAAGCAGTCTAACTCAGTCAATTTGACTTGAAATTTAATGCCATTGATGCCATTTGATGTCATTCAGGTCACTTCTAATACTGGTCATGTATAAGCTACATATGATAAGGAGTTAATCAAATTTCTTTCAATGTTCGATCACTTTAGTTAAATAATTTTCGAATTATTTTTTCTGGAGTTTGCGGCACGTTAATTTAATTGTTTAGATTTTTAGTACCGGCTGATGCAGTAATTAGACACTTTTCACTCAACTACTGAGTCGTGACTCTTATTTGAAATTAGTGATTATAATTGTATTATTAATATCTTAATAATTAACAAAAATTATTATGATTTAATTCATGTTGCAAAAAGTAGATAATTTTATGTTTTCATCATAAATAAAGTTTTCAAAATCCCATTCAACTAAATTTAATTTAATTAAGAATTTTCACGGCTCAGTCATTTGAAAATTCCTGAGTCACCTCTACTCAGCCGTCGAAACTGACTTTAGCGGCTGGTAATATCAGGTTAAATCCTCAAAAGTAAGAAAAAATTGCTTTTCTTTATTTAGTTTTTATTTAATTACATGGGTTGGTTGGTTTCTGATCAAATAGAATAATTTCCAATGAATGATTTATACTAGAAGAAGCATCGACAATGTTATTTAAGATTTGGTTTATAATTATTTGATTGTTAATTTTCTGTTATGTTTGTTATCATAACTTAATTTATGAATTGTTTGATTCATAGATGGATGATATTCTGCCTCATTATCCCAGCATTCTGAAATTAAATAAAAATTTAATTATCTTTTATATTCTTATAAATAAATTCATAATCAATATTTACTATTGTAAATGTTACACATATTCTTCAGGTATACCCAAAATGATCCTTTCTTTAAGTCCTCTTAAAATTTTGATAGCCAAACTTAAAGTCGTATCCTTCATCCTTAACATAAAAAGGAGGATGACCGCTTGATATCTTCACAATAGTACACTAACACTGTAAACATTACTCTTTTCATTTAGTTAAAATTGTGGTGATGTGTTGTCAATTCTTCGTTTGTTGAATAATTTTGGGTCAACATAAGGAATTACTCCAAAAGATTCTGACTGATTAGTTGCTGAATCAATTCTAATTTTACAACATCTTGACGAATTGATATGTTTCCGAAATGCTATTATATATATTATCATAAAAATAATTATTAAATTATAAGTAAAAATAAACATAAAATACATATATTATGTAAGAATACCAAATCACAATTCCTTCGTACAAACATGACACAAAACAAACCAAATGGTATGCAAATTTTTATTTATCTCCTATCAAAATGCTCCTTCAAATAGTTTCTAAGTGAACCGTCATCAGAACTAGCATACTTTTTCAATTGATCTTTTTGCTTTTCTAATTTATTTTTTTAATAAAACATGAGTTAAAATAATAAAAAATTGGACATATAAACCTTACTATGAAGGTCTACCTTGTATATGAAGTTATCCCGCAAAAGCGGATAATGTTATCATGAAAATCAACGTCTCGTTGAAGTTTAATCTAAATTCTTACAAATAATATGTACATATTAAACAAACGAAATACATAATACTTTTGTATGTAAATTACCTTGCGAACAATTTCTTTCACAGTGGTTTCGTTAAAGTTAAGAACAATTTTAACGCGAACTGTTGCTTTAAACTTTTCCAATTTGCACGATAGACTTTTCCAAAGCAGCCAGTACCGATTTCTTGAAAATTGCTAAAATGTTTGTGTTCGTAGTATTTGATATTTTTTCTTGAAAATGTTTCCTAAATCAAATTAACCCATCCAATCAAATCGTTGACAGCTTGCATTTTGATTTATTAAATTTATTATATAGCGAAATGAATTAAAATTCTTGGAGAAAAGCAAAAAGAAAAAAAAATTGCTCACCAGTAAAATGCAAAATTTTAGGCCCACCGTTTGTAACATCAAAAAAATATCAACCGTCAGTATACGATACGAAAATAAAAATCGACTTTTTTTTTAATTAATAATTCTGTATAAATCCTAATAAATAATATTTTTAACTAAAATCACACCAGAATTTAGAAAAATAACAATTAAAGCTTTCACGTAAATCTAAATTTAGCAATGTTAAAGATCAATTTAAAATTTATCAAATTTGTAATTTATAAGATACTGTATTTGCTAATGCAGAGCAAACATTAAACACTGGCAAGCAAATTCTTCACTTAAATATAAATGTGCCTCTCCAATAGTTTAATAAATGTCAAATTCAAGAATATTTCTAAAATATTGAGATTAATTTGCTTCTGTTTAATGCATTTCCAGAGTAAAAAAAAAACCTCTCAATTATCTAAGTTTATTTTTTTTAATTTTTTTCATCTCCTTTAATGAATTACTTAAATCCTTTTTTTTGCATTGTCTCTGATGTTCTTTCACTATACTCCATATCACTTAATTATACATCGGCATAGTAATTGGCTTCCTCGTTTGAGATCTATAGAAAAGTGTCAATGGCTGAGTCGAGTGAAAAGGTTCTAACGACTGATTAAGCCAGAATTTGCCGAGGTTAAATTTCATCAAAGAACAAATAGCAAATTGAAATTTATCTGGAGTAATATTTGATATGATATAGTTAATGGGCAGGGGCTCTTAAATATCAGCCGATTTAGCCTCTGCCCAATAACTATATATAATCACTACGAAAAGTGTTTTAGGAAAGCATATTGAACCCAATAACATTTGAGTTAAAAGTATTAAATTATTATTTCGTTATTTTTTTGTTTTTATTTCAAGGTAATTAAGAAAATATTATTTGTTAATATTACCATTTCTTGGTTCTTTAACTTTCAATAATCTTTAATTCGAAGTAAGAAATAAATTTCTATTAAACTTAGTGTTGTGTTGCTTCCATTTATATACTGGGGACAATATTATTTTCATGCTAATTGTTTATTTATTTAATTATTTTTGCCGCCTCTATAAATTTTATTTTATTTTTAAAATTTTTTTTTAAATACCTTTATAAAAATCATCTTAAAAAATAAATCTGTTGCAAAAAGCAATTTTTTAAAATAAACCAATTTTTTGTTTTCCAAATTCCGAAATTACTGTATAAACCCAACTAAACTGGGCCTGTACGTCATGAATTAATTTTTCGTGTATTTTATAACATTAGAGAATATTGAAGATTAAGTTGACCACGACCTGATGTCCTACAATAATAGACTAATATTTAGCACTATTAATTTATGAATTCTGCTCTGCTTGTATTAGGGTTAATATTTTTTTATTTTTATTTTTTATTTTTACAAATACTTTCCAAATATTATAATTGCTTGAAGAATATTTTATTTCTGCCATTAATATAATCGCATCAAATTTTTACTAACTTAACTATTCATGTTAGCAAGATTAAATAAATCAATGTATTATGCATACAAATAACAAAAAAAATTAGTCCATCATTTAATCATACAGTACTACAAGGATTAGAATCAGGTTTCGGAGAATTTTTGTCGTAATAATTTATTTATTTTTATTGTTTACAGAGAAAAGTATTTATATATCTCATTTTTATAAGAAGATGAAATAATTTCATTCGTCAATGAAACTTCAACAATACAAGTCTTGCAAAAATGGTTAAACGGAACGAACATGACTGAAATAAGTTCATTCGAAAAGTATTTATTATTTATTGATTCAAGAAATTTTTATGACGAAATCTTTGGATAGGATGACAAAAAATATAGCGGTTCCATCCAGAAACAGCAAAAATGTCGCTAGTAATTAGCAATTGTAAAAATTAGGTGTTCTATTTTTATTATTTATTATAAATTTACGAAATCCTCGTTATCACGTGATTAATACGAGATCACTTGTTAAAAATACATGAAAACCTGATTGGTTGAAAATCATAACCTGTGTTAATAAATATATCTTTTTTTTTGCAAATGTGTATTATTAATTTAATTAATTTAATTTTAACAAAAATCTAACATTAGGAAAAATCGATTTCAAATACCTTTTTGAATTAAATATGAAAACTCGTAGAGCATGCACAAAAAAAATATTATGGTTCTGAAGTTATTTAATAAATATTTGTTTTTATATTTTATTTAATTTTTGACAAATTTCCATCATCCAATCAAATATCAATATCATGTAACCTCGAGATTCTAAATTGGTAAGATCTTGATCAGGCCAGATAATCCAGATAATCATTCCATTCATTGATGTAATGTTTGTGATCGCCATTAAAGAAGATTTAAAGTATTACGAATACTCGGCTCGGCTTTTTGATAAATTGCCCAAATAAGCAAAGCAAGCTTTCAATTCATTTCATGCTAACCGGTTATGAATTTTTTTGAAAGTGAGATTGTATCACTTGGTAAGCCGTAAATAAACGAATGTTAAAAAAAAAAATTCAACATAAATAACATAAATAAATAGGTTGAGATAATAAGAAAATTGCAAAAACTTAAAAATGACGACTATAACTGAAACAAATCAACACAAATCATCAATAACATTGGTAAAGCGAACAGCTACTTTACATTTATCATTTCTTTATTTTTTTTTGCCTCGCTTATTTTAACTTTTTTATTATTCCTTCTTTACTTTTTCTGATATGATCTTGCGTAAAGTCATCTGATGAGAGTAATATACAAATTACTCCCTCACATCCTATCAAACGGTATAGAGAAGATAATCGGCACACTTGTCAATGTGCAGAGCAACAAGTTAATGATTTGACTTTAAATGTAAATGATTATTCTAACGAAAAAGATTTCAGGGAAATGGCAGCGAGAAGATTATTGAATTCCAGTGAGGAAAATTGTCAAATTGAACTTGAACATCGTTTTCCAAACGGAAAAATGCCTTTCCCAGAGGATCACATTAAGTCTGAAGCAAGGAATTATATTATTCATTCAAGAAGGAAGTTCGGCAAGAAATTATCTGATTCCGAGTATACAGTTAACTTAGCTGACGACACTTTCAAAAAGTTTTCTGACATAATTCAATCCCAAGTCGATGATTTATTATATATCAACGAATTAAGGCTAAAAAAGGCCAATGAAGACTACAGGCAAACACGTGAACAGCTAATGGCAGAATACGTTGTACATTTAAATCATAATCTTTGTGGGGAACCTGAACCGTTTGATAAAATCACTTCCAAGTGCACTGATGATATAATGAAAAATTATGATCAAAAAATTAAAATATTTCCGAAATTCATTACTTTTAATAATCGTGACACTTTCATATCAACTGTAAGTTCCAAATTTTGTGTTGGCTTGAATGTATTAATATGATATAATATTTAAGAATTTGATTTGTCATTTGCTAGTTGATTTCCAAGAATAAAGAATTTCGTATCGATTATGACGTGTACTTGAAACAGTACATGGATGACTTCAAAAAGAATGTCGACGATATATATGATAATGTTATTCATGAATACAAGCTCAAAGTCAATATCAAATTACCAAATATACCAATGTCAGAAGAAGAGTTAGACAGTAAGAAAAGTCGTATTTTAGTATTTAATTGACTTTTACAACATAAATTCACTTCGATTAATTAACATTTGTTTTATATCCGAAGAATTATTGTACTTCAATAAGGACAAATATCATTCGCTTTTTGACTCCGACACTTCAGCTCTCCCTGGTCAGAAAAAGACTTCAAGAGCTTATGTCCAACAACATAAGAACGTCCTCGTGGTAAGAATCAATACGGAACAAGATAACATGATCAGTTACAACAAAGATGCTTCAAAAGAATGTTGTAATAAAATATGGGATGAGAAAGTTGAATTTATACGTCATAAAGTAAAGAATGGAAATTATGATACATTGGATAGATTTCATAAAGATCTCAATACTTTCAAAAACAGCTATCGTCTTGCAGCTAGTGGACCTGCAATTAATACCATATGGCAACGACGATTAAAAGAAATAAACTCCTGGGAAGCCAATGTCAGAAGATCTATTATGGCAATACCTCATAATGGCAAAAGCGTTGAAACTATTTACAATGAAATTATGAAATCAACGCTCATTCCCATTGACGAGTTGGCCAAATATTTAGGGATAGCGTGGGCTGGTAAGTTTTTAATTTTATTGAGAATTTGATTGAAATTAATTGTGTTAAATAATCCATTTATTCATTATAGGCAGTGGACATTACAGACGTACAGCTAGTGGTTATATGTGGGTTTGCACTAGGAAGGATGTGGATCGCAGGGACTATTTACCATCTTATGTCTATGATTTCAAGTCTGACTTCAAAGATTTAATAGCATCCGACCCTATTATTGAGTACGTCAACCCACGCCAAGTCAATACTACGATTTATGGA